TTCCCTTCCACATTCACTCTGTACTTCTGTCCTGTCACTCAGCTGCTTCCTGTCGCTTTGCCCTTGGGCCACAAGAGATGTTCAGCCACAAGCTGGGGTGGAAAACAAGGGAAGTGCCCAGGAAGAGGAAGAAAGGGATGCGTAATTCTGAGTGGCAAACAGGCAGATGGTCAAGCTGACTGTAATCTTTTCCTCTTAAGTCTTGCCTTTTTCCAGGTAATCCATCCTTCTGCTCCTCCACCTTCTGATGCTGTCTGCCTCATTTGGGCTCCAAGTCATTGAGTTTGACGCACCTCTCTGTGTGTGACCCTGAATGCAAATGATTTAACTGCTTGCTGATCATTTACCTCTGATCATATGTCAAGATCTTTAATCAGAATGCCCTCCCCCACACAGCGGGTCCATACCTTTGACACCATGAGTTTGGATTGGATGCGAGGCAGGTCGCTATCTGCAGAGACAGAGAGCAGAAAGGAGATGGACCTCTTGAAGGAAATTGAAGGGGCTGAATCAGGGTGGCAGCATGCGTTGCGTTTGTGGGTGCTGTCTGGCAGGGGAGCTCAGGTCTGCATCAGGAGATGGTAGACAAAATCTGACCGAGTTTCCTCTGCAGGCAAAACTCTGGGGCTAGCTGTGACAGAGCAGCCTGGGGTCTGACTGGTGATCCGCGGGAGACTGCCAGTGGGACGGCCTGGCTCCCCTAAAGCAGGGTCCGGAGCGAGCCTCACGTTAATTCAGCCAGAGGATGGCCCTGAACCTCCCCTCCTGCCAGCTGAACCTCCAGCTCTTGGCGGCTGCCGCTTGCAATGGCCACTGCCAGCAGCTGCTCCTTCCCTGGCCTGGCCCCAGCGCTCGGAGCTGCCAGGAGGTGCTGGAGGTGCCTGGGTTGCTGGAGGAGTGCTGCGCAGTGGCATCTAATGGCGCCTGGAGGAGCTGCAAGTCAGCGAGACGGTCCTGTGCGTTGCGTGAAGACAGCTGCCACGCGTGGCCATGCTCCTGAATTCTGTTTTTCAGTGTATCTTCGTTTCTCCTCCTGACTGCACCAAACTCGAGTCATTGCTCGCTTCTCCCGTGGGGCTCTTCATCCCAGCTCGTGCCTCATGTTGCAACTCCACCTCTTCATCCTGCTCTTTGCTCCTGGCCGTCCTTGGGCCCCGCATCTTGCTGCACAGACACTGCTGAACAGAGCAGAGGTGCCCCGGGTAGCTGGAGTGTAACTTTGTGCTGTGCGCATGTGGCTCGCTCTGTTCAGTGCTTCTTTTCTATCTCCCTCCTCCTGCCCTCGTTTTCTGCTTTAAAATGTCTTTGGTGTTTTTTTTTCCTCCCTTGACTATTTTTTTTCTTTTGGCCTTCCATGGAGCTGCTGGAGCTTGTTCTGTCCCTGTCTGCCTTACTTATGAAGGACTGTAAAATTTTATGTTCAGCAATTAGACTCTTTTCACAAGTGATGCCCAGGAGTTGTGAGGGTTATGCGCAGTCCCAGTAAGCGCATGGATCATTTACAGAGAGTCCTTGGGGCCAAATTCTATGCACTTAGTCCTTATGGCTATGGAACTGACTGAAGACTGTCCCTGTTGGTTTTTAATTTGTGTTCTCTGCCCTTCCAAGACATTGAGTAGCCACTTAAAGTGTTTCAAGGACTGGAAGAAATCTAGTGACAACTCCCTAGAAAGCAAGGTTTATGGCACAGAAAAAAAGGGCTTCAGCTTGTCAATTCACATTCTGCAGAAATTTGCATACTGCAGCAAATCTTGGTTTAGTATCAGGGAAAAAAATGGCATTACCATTTAGATGTATGGAACTTCTCTCTCATCAAGAGGGCAGAGTTTTCCAAACATGGCTGGTATATAAGGAGCTTCCCTGATATCCGTTACATCCACTCTTGTTACTTTGCTAGATATATGGATAGATGGGTATGGATCATTTTCCCATGTAGCTCAACCACTGCTCAAGGTTCAGATATGGGCAGGATCAACCAATTCCTAACACGTTACTTGTCACCCAACACTTCAGACATTCCTG